TTTTTTTTTTTTTTTTTTGAGTCACAAATCCTTTTGAGATTCTAAGACCCATGACTGTCTTCCTAGGAAAAATTAAAGGCAAAAAACACAAAAAGCTAACACAAAATTTGACTTTCAGCTTCAGAGTGTACATGGTTCCTTGGACCCATTCCCAAATCCTATGATATACCTCTCTCACTGAGCGCACTTCTGAGCACCTACTTGTCTTAGGAGCTATAGATACTTGGGTAAACAAAATACACAAAAAACCTTTTCATCCTTAAGAAGCTTCTATTTTTATCTACTGATGAAATAAGTAAATCAGTCATATGCTGTTTAGGAAGATGCTGAGTACTATGGACACAAAGCAGGGCAGGGGCATGCAGAGAGGGCCAGCTGAGCTTTTAGATGGGTTGGCTGGCCTAGAAGGCCTTGCCAAGGGAGTGATATTTGAGCAGACACCTAAAGCGGGCAGAGTGAGACCAGGCCTACTACTTGGAGGAGATTGTGAGGAAGAAGGGACAAGACAGAGGCCCAGAATCAAGGTGGTCCCTGAATGCTGGTGGAAGACAGGAAGCCCTGGTTAGACCAGGGTGGAGGGGTGAAGTCAGAGAGGTGGCTGGATCATGTAGGGCCTGTGGGCCACTGCTAGGGATGTTGATTTCTATACTGAGTGAGTTACTGAGCCACTGAAGGGGGCATTGTCTGACATAGTTTAGCATATTGGGCCACTGGTTGTTGGAAACAGATCATAAGGCAGGAAAAAATAGAAGCAAGGCCACCCATTGGGGAGGTTATGAGAATAATCTAGGCAGGGGATGATGGTGCTTAGACCGTGTGGTCTGGTAAAGGAACTAAAACACAGTAAGAGACTGTTAGTCAGCTTTCTGTGTCTGTACAGAATACCTGTGAAAATCAATTTAAAAGGAGAAAGGATTATTTTGGCTCACTGTTTCAGAGGGTTCAGTCCAGGGCTACTTGGCTCTCTTGCTTTGGGGCCTTTGGCGAGACAGAGCATCATGGTGAGGACTGTGGTGTAGAGCAAGGCTGCCTCCCTCAGGCTGTCCAACAAGCAGAGAGGGAGGGAGGGAGGGAGGGAAGAAAGGCCAGGGTCCAAACATCTCCTTCGAGGGCTGACCTCACTTCCCTCTGCTGGGCCGACCTCCTAAAGGTTCCCTCACCTGGCAACAGCACCAGCACCAGCACCATAGCCCGGTGACTGGACGTTGGGCACAGGAGCCTTTAAGGGAGATTTAAGATCCAAACCGCTGCAGTCTAGAAGTGCTCTGGAGCACAGTGCCTAGAGGGTCTGCCTCAGAATAGAGTGTGATAATAGAATAGTCAGGGTTGCTGGCTGAGATGAGTGTTTTCTGCCTTAAATGAAGCCCAGCAGCAGTGCCGTGCTCCCCTCCTTCTTCTGTGAGAGCAGCTTTGTGCCTTTTCCCGCTCTGCACAAGCGAAGAGGGGAGGGTGTCAGAAATGGTTTCTCTTCCTAAAGCGAAATTGTTATTACTGACAACACATGGAATTTGTAGCGGAAAGAGAATCTGCCCACCTAGAGCTGCAGGGCTTCTGGCTGTGCCGTAGAGAACCCCAGCGTTCCTTAGGGACACTCAGGCCAGGAGGAGGGACGGGCAGGAGGATGACGCTTCTGCTCCTGCAGCTCCTCCACCCCAGCACCACGAGCCCCTGTACCTGTTGTCCCTGTAACAGCTTATTCCCAGCAAGGCAGGGTGCCACACACCTATAATCCCAGCAGGTCTGGGAGGTTGAGGCAGGAGGCTCACAAGTTGGAGCCCATCCTGGACAATTTAATGACTTAGATCTTGTCTGTAACTTTAAAAAACAAACAACAACAGCAACAAAGAGCTGGAGAATATAGCTCAGTGTAATGGCCCTGGGTTCAGTCCCAGTGCAGGGGGAAATTTTTCAGTTTCAAAGGAGGCAGTTGTTTGAAGCTGCATAGTATACCTCCGAGGAGCCCCGGCATCGCTTGCCCAGTGTCACTCTTACCACACAAGCGTCCATTCTGCCCCACCACAAACCAGTGAGAGGGATACAGGCAGGGACTGGCAAGGGGAAGTTTTAAATGTACTCATTTCCCTTGGAAGTTTCCGTAATTTCCATCTATGAAATAAACTGACAGTAGATCAATAGGGGGAAAATCGTATCAAATTTTATCAACGAACAGACGCTCAGGAGACATACACAATGTTAGAAGCTCAAAGCAGGATTTGAAGATTAGAACTTACCTAGGGCTGAACAAAGGCTTGGGCTTGGTGCTGAGGAGTTGCAGGTGGGGGACGAACATGCATAGAGAGCAGGGCTTGTCTTGTGACTCACATGAAGCGTCCCAGGTAGCACCCTCTCCACACCTCTGGTTCTGGGTCAGACATCCATTTTGGCAGGTGGGCGAATCAGTTAGGAAAGCCTCCATCTGCATCACTGGCTGTAAATTTCTTTTGACAAAAGGCTAGCTTTTTAGTGCCATCCTTGTGTCTTCTGCTTCTCAAGTAGCCACCTTGCATTACGCTAAAGAACTATATTGAAGTGTCCCATTTTGATCTTCTGTACTGGGGTCTCCTTGTGTCAGTGCCTCTCTGATCTGTAGACTAGGTTCCAGGAGAGTCACCCGGATAATGTGCAGGGGTGACCAGCAGGCAGAGGGCAAGGAAAGAATGGCCTTAGGTGTCCTTCCAAAGGTGTAGCCAGGGCAACTGAGCTTTCCCCCTGTGAAGCAGGAAAACAAACTTGTTTCAGGAGAGATTGAAGATCTTGCATTTCTAGTCGTAGCTGTTCTGAGCTCAGCTTTCTCCCCCTAGCCTGAGGGACAGGGAGCTGTCCTGCCCAGCACTGTTTGCAGGACAGGACCCAGGTAGTGCTGCAGTTCATCCTGTGGATGCCAGAAGACTGCTAAGGCCCCCCGTGGAGGTTAATGTTTGCACTGATTTGCAATCGTAGGTTTGTCATGAGAAACGGGAGCGACATTAATCTTGGTTTTGACTTATCTGAGGCTCTGTTTGTATAGGTTGCTAAAAGTCTGCTTTACCCTATGAGGTTTGTACCAGCAAAATCTTTCCATTTATTTAAAAACAAAAATTGATATTCAGTAGACGTTTATATTCTATTCAATTTTATTACTTATTCTGTTTCCCACGTAATACGTTCTTTGAAGGTGAGATAGGTTTGTTTGCTAGAGACGGTAGAGAAGGCTAGTCACTCCTTCAGTTTATATTTACATCACATTTGTACAGGTGATTCCTGACTGTTTTATGCAGATACTGGTACTGTCAGCATGTTTGGCTCTTTATCCACAACAGCTGGCTCAGAGAACTCTGGCACCGTCCTCGGAGAGGCTGTGGCACACGGGAATCCTTGCCCTCAGGAGCTTACACCCCGGTGTTGGACAGACAGACAGGATGTCTGCATAAAGCCACTGGCACTGACAAAGCAGGGAAAGACAGCAGAGTGGGATGGGTATAGGATGTCTCAGCTTCCAGTAGAGGGGAACTTAACAAGAATGGAGCATTTGAGTGAGGGAGTACACCAGGCAGGAGGCTTCAGAAGAGGTGCTACAGACGAAAAGGGTAGCAAGGGCCAAGGCCCTGAGGCCAGAGCGTGCGACTGTGCTGTTCTAGGCACTTGAGTGGGCTACAGTTGCTGCAGTACAGGGGCAGGTGGAGGAGGAAGTGGGCAGTGAGGGCTCAGAAAGGATTTTGGCTTTTACTCTGCGTGAGCTGGGAGCCCTGGGATTGTGGAAATGATTTTAGCAGCATTACTATGCCTGCGGTGTGGAGAGTAGACTAAAGGTGGGAGTGGGGAATGCGAAGGTAGGTGGAGAAAAGCAGGTTCACACAGTTTAAGTCTGTGACTGGTCGGGATAAGTGCTTGGTAAATATAATGTCTCTTGATAAGCCAAATGCGTTTTGTGCTACGTGGAAAACGTTTATTCGCCTTCCTTTCTGGAGATGTCTCTGCACTCAGCAGAAATGCTTGCTGCATCTAATCAAGACATGGGAAGGGCAGCTTCTTAAACTGAAGTGCATGCCTGAGGTATCTCAGTCTGCGTGACTAGAAGCAGGAGTTCTTGTCATTAGACGGATACCTGGAAATTTTTGATAGAGGTAAATTTGCAGATCCATTTTCAGTGATTCTAAGAAACTCTGCAGTCAGAGATCCTAGGTCTCTCCCCAACTGCCCAAGTGCTTCCTTCTCTTACCAAGTAGCATCCCCTGCTCCTCTCCCACCACCAGCCGTGGGCTGGTGAAGAGGTGAAGAGGCACCGTGCAGCGACTGCGCCCTTTGCAGCTGGGTTTTATGCCAGCTCTGGCTTCCTGGCACCTTTGCTCCTTTTCCCCTGTAGCTTTGCCATCCTGTCATCTCTGTGTCCCCAACCCTTCCACTTAAGCCACCTACCCATAAGGCTCCTCTCTCTGCCCAACAGAACTCATGGCGGCCTGTCCTTGAGCTAGCCATGAAGGGTCCTTGCAGCCCTGCCTTGCCCCTCATCTCCTGAAGTCATCCGAGAGGCTGGTGACTTCTCAGGGTCTTGGCTGCTCCCCTCCCCCTTTGGCGTTCTGGGGCTCTAATTCAAGGGTTGCTGGATGTCCCCTCGCAGCCCTTGTGCAGCCACCCTGAGAAAGAATTGAATTTGCTGCTCCTGCTTTTCTTTAGCTGCTTGAAAATTCTACTCAGAATTTCGGAAGTGCAGAGTTCAGAGAGAGGATTTTCGAGAGACGCTCTGGCCCTCAGGCTGTATGTTCCTGCTGTCTGTGGCCCGGGCAGGGCTGGGATATGGGTCCATTCCCTGAGGCCTCCAGTTTGCCCGGCCCTTTCCGTGGTTACAGCCCTCATCCTTCCTGTTTTTCACATGTGCCCTCTGCAACACAAGATCTTATTTTTCACACAAAATACTTGTAAGCATCCCGAGACTTCACTGAGAAGTCTCTGGTTCCTGCACTCAGACCCTTCTTTTGGGCAGGATGTGTATGTGGAATATTTTCCTTTCCCTCACACTCTTCATGAATTTGATTAGGTTTGGAGTGATGTTTTCTCCAACTCCTGATTTTAAAAATGATGCCTTAGATTGGTCCCCTTGAAATTTTGAATGTAAGTACATGGCCTTACCTCTTAAATTAATGCTTTTAGGCTGTGGCAGATGAGGCTACAATGAAGTACTGTTACAGAGTGCTTCATTATTCTGTGAATTCACTTGGGTTGCAGCTCATAGTCTACCCAAGTCCTTCCCAAGCCCCCTGACATGAAAAGCCCCTAATTAAGACTGTTACTTCTTGCCAGGTGTGGTGGTGCACGCCTGTAATCCCAGCACTTGGGAGGCTGAGGCAGGAGGATCACTGTGAGTTCGAGACCAGCCTGGGCTACATAGTGAGTTCCAGGTCAGTCTCAGCTACAGAGTGAGACCCTCT